AACTAGTAGTGTAAATAATGCAGAGAGCTGCAGGCAGTATAGCATAGTGGAGACTCTGGAGCCGAGCTGACACATTTCGAATCTCAGGAATTCTACTTCCTGTGTGATCCTGAATAAGTAATTTAACCTCTTTGTGCCTCTGTATACTGATCAGTAAGCATCTTTGTGCCTCTGTATCCTGATCAATATTTAATGGTATCTACCTCACAGTGTTGATGTGAATATATGAGTTAACTCAGTTTAAGATGCACAGCAGAGCGCCTGACACTTAGTAAAGCTTTATGTAAATATTAACCAGGTTAGTGTTACCAGAAGCGAAAGCCCAGGCACATATTGGTGTCAGACATACAGATATCTACTGATTGTTTGCTGATTTAATGTTCCTAAAACTTTAAAGAGGAATACACATTTTCTTTCTTTAATTAGTACAAAGTATATTAAACTACCACAGAAATAATTTATTAACTATTAAACAACAGAGTGAAACTATGGAAACTGCAGATACACCTTGGGACTAAGGTCTAATTTATATTTTCATCCCTGGTATCTGGCATAGTGCCTGTGAATAAATATCACGGAATAATCTTTATTAAGAATTTAGGCTGGGCGTGGTGGCTTATACCTGTAATCCCAGCAATCTGGGAGGCTGACGCTGAAACAGGCAGATCACTTGAGGCCAGGAGTTCGAGACCAGCCTGGTCAACATGGCAAAACCCATCTCTATTAAAAAGGCAAAATTGAGCCGGGCATGGTAGTATGCACCTGTAATCCCAGCTACTCTAGAGGCTGAGGCATGACAATCGCTTGAACTTGGGAGGCAGAGGTTGCCGTGAGCCAAGATTGCATCGCTGCACTCCAGCCTAGGCAACAGAGTGAGATTCTGTCTCAACAACAACAACAACGACATAAATAAATAAATAAATGGCAGTGCATGAGACTCACACCTGCAATCCCAGAATTTTGGGAGACCAAGGTGGGAAGATCACCTGAGGCTGGGAGTTCAAGACTAGCCCAGGCAACATGGCAAGACCCGGCCTCCACAAATAAATGAGTGGGGCATGGTAGCACATGCCTATAGTCCTAGCTACCAGGGAGGCTGAGGCAGGAGGGTTGCTTTCAGCCCAGAAGTCTGAGGCTGCTGTGAGCCATGTTTGTGCTACTGTGCTCCAGTCTGCACAAGAGAGTAAGACCTCATCTCTTTTAAAAAAAAAAAAAAATTAAAGAAGCTAGATCAGTGCTTCCACTTGGGTAGTTTCAAAATGTTCCATCATTTTGCTAATATCAAGAAGACATATCAATCTAAGTTTTATAGAATAAAACCATATGCTTACCATAAATGTCATTTCCTTCAATAAGGCCTCGTCCATCACCAAAGATGTAAACTCCTCCTTGATTTCCATTAAATATAGAATTTCCCCTATAATTATGTGAAATAATAAAAAAGAAGACATCTATTCAGCCAACTTACTTGTTTTATATAATTGTAAAGGCCCCTCATGGTCATATAACAAATTATACAACTTCTAAGGCCTCAATTTCTTAGTTATTTCTAAGGCCTAAGACTTTGGAAAAGTCAAACTACTATTTGAGAGAACGTATGTGGCATTCTTAAAAATTCCCCTCAAAACAGCTAATACATTCAAAACAATTTTTTAGCTGATCTAGAAACATTTGATGAATATTAACAAAATGGAAATCCCAAAATCTAACTTCCATAAAGCCAGTGGAAAATAAAATTTGACAAAAATAATTCATAGTGTTTGATTAAATTATAATAGCTCTGGTTCTACAATTCTGGCTTATTAAGGGAAAATGACAGCTTGCATTTTTGACTTTTTGATAATTTTAGTCTTTTTGGCCAAGAATCTTTGAGATATTTTTCCTGAGTTATTCTATTTGCTAACTATCAGAAAAAAAGATAAAGTCCTTCAAGCTCCATGGGGAGGTAATAGCCCTATTTATTCATCTATAATACAGTTTGATGAATTTAAAATAAAAATCACAGCATTTGCATTTTTCATAAAATAATATCACATATGGCTTATATCACTAAAACAAAAGCAAAAACAAAAAACACTAAAAAATAAATCTGCAATAGCTATGGCTCATTCAGATGCACAGACTTTTACTAGGAAAATCTATTTTATAGTAGTCAGATGTCTAACAAAAACTTTCAAGAGTTAAAGCTCAGTATCTTGACTTTTAAGACAAACCTTGAAGTGAAAAAGTAATTTTCACCCATAATTATATGTAAATACCTTATTGTTGGGTCGCTATTTGAGGTAATCCATACACCTGCAAAGTTGTTTGCATAGATTTTATTCTCTATGAATTGTCCTCTTCCTTTTTCATGGACATATATTCCTCCAGTCTGTCCATGGTGAATTTCACATCGAACCACTGTGGGGTTAGCATAGGCTTTTACTTCAAAGCCTGCTATCCTATTTCTGTGTATGTTGCAACTTTCAAAGTAACCCTGAAAAATACAGAAATTAAATCTGCAGGTAAAGGCTACTTTACAAAAAAAGAAATGCCATTTAAAAAACATTTCAATGCATACCTAAAAATTATTAGAAACATTTAAGGCTGGGCGTGGTGACTCACGCCTGTAAACCAGCACTTTGGGAGCCCGAGGAAGGTGGATCACCTGAGGTCAGGAGAAGACCAGCCTGGCCAACATGGTGAAACTCTACTAAAAATACAAAAATTAGCTGGGTGTGGTGGCTCACACCTGTAATCCCAGCTACCTGGGAGGCTGAGGCAGGAGAACTGCTTGAACCCGGGAGTCAGAGGTTGCAGTGAGCTGAGACTGTGCCACCGCACTCCAGCCTGGGTGATAAGAGCAACACTCCGTCTCAAAAAAAAAAAAAAAGTTTAAGAGTAAGAATAAAAAACAGGTACATACACTAGGCTTCAAGTAATAATCATGGAAAGAAAAAGAGTTAAATTTTTTTTTTTTTTTTTTTTTTTTT